GTAAAGCCCACACCGGAGCAATCCGTGGGGAGGATTGTTTCCAGTGGGCTGGACTCACGCTGGAGAAGTTTGTGGATTTTTCCTCGTGGGTAGGGGATCCATTGGAGCAGGGGAAAAGGGTGTAAGGACTCCTTCTCCTTTAAGAAAGAGGCAGCAGTAACAGCACGGAATGAACTGACCTGCACTCCCCCAGTCCCTGCCCCCTGTGCTGCTGGGGGGAGGAGGTAGAGCCGGGAGGAAAAGGAAAGGAGGGGGGGAAGGTGTCGGTTTTAAGATCTGGTTTTGTTTCTTTCTGTCCTCTCGAGTAATCGGTTTTTGTTTCCCTTTGTCCTTCTAAGTAATCATTAATAAACTGTTTTGCTTTGAGAAAAGCTCTGCCTGTTTTGCCCAGGACCATGGTTGGTGGGTGCTCCCTCTGTTCTTGTCTCAACCCTCAGTCCCTTTGTTGTTTTTTTTTCTCTCCTCTCTACTTTACTGGAGAAGGAGAGACTGTGTGAGTTTTAGTTGCTGGATCAGCCTAAAACCACGACAATGATCCACATAACCAAGTTTATCATTAGACCAAACCAATGCCTGATTCTTACTAACCAGACTTTAAAAGTTATTTGTATGATGACAATACAGTATCATTTTTTCTGCAAGTGAAGAATTACTGATTTTAAGACTTAATTATTCTATACATTCAAAGATACTTGCTAAACTAAGGCTAAACAAAACAGATTGTACACTTGGTATACTAAGGAAGAAAGATGGAAAAAAATCCCTCCATTTTTATCAAGTATTTTTCCAATTAATTTGGAACTGAATTCTGCTTGTGTAAAATGCTTAGCTAAGAAAAGTCATTTACAGTTACAAGATGTTGCATGAAAATCATTATTTTCCCAGTTAACACCTACCTCTTCTAGTGTTAATAGGTCCACCTCGCATAGCCAGAACTAACTTCAGAGTGCAGCCTTCTGAAATGCTGTAAATAACAATAAATAAATTTTTGTAGCACACTATTGCTTATGCTAGCAATCAGAAACTTTCATTGCAATTTTATTCTATACTCACTTATAATCATTCAAACAATAGTCATCCTTCAGTTCTGTATTATTCCAAATTAAGTGCTGCTGAGAGACAGGAATACCTAAACAAAACAACATAAAACAGAGTATTAAAATTGGAGCTTAATGGAAGGGTTTCTGGGGAGTTTTGCTTTTTGAAGAATGTGAGGGTAATGGAGGAAAGGCAAGAAAGGGAATCACAGGGGAAAGAAGAAAGGAAGCAGGACAAGCACAGGCGCTCGAGCAGCCTTCAGTCATGACATCCAACCTCCCAAATAGTTATTAACAACAAAGTTAAAATTTCCAGTAGGCTTGTGCTCACACATGAGTTCAATCTTTCGGCTCAACAAGAAATCTGTAGAAGTATTCAATTGCTTCAGGTCTATTGAATACTTCCTCTTTTCCAGTCATCAGACAGGGGATTTTTTTTTCCTGCTATCTGTACCTCAGAGCTTTATGTCTATGGATAGGAAAAACAGGATAAAACTTCTAACTACAGAATTGCTGAGTAATTTAATCACAGACTGATAATCTGTATTACTCACAGTAAAGGCAAGGTCGCATTAAGGTAGTTAGTGGCAGCTCTATTACAGCGGTGACAACTGTAAACGTGTTTTTATCACTGCTTGGTTTGGGACCTGAAAGTTCACATGTACAATACAGTCCCATAGCAGTTAGTCAAACTTCACACGACAAACACTGTTATTTTGCTGAGGATGTTCTTTTAGGCCAACAGAACATTTTGTTACTTATATCCATTAATACTTATTTTCAGCTCAAGTTCTGGGGCAGATTTGGCTAACCATTTTTTGTTAAAAGGAAGTAAGCATACTGAATATTTGTTCCTTACTAAAAATCCATATTCTACACAATGATTAACTTTGTTTCTTTTCGACTGCATAGCCAACTTATTTAGATACAGATGTAATATGCATTGAAGATAAAAGGAATAAGCTATGGTAGAACCTGAGGTCTTCACACATTTTTACTATAACGTTGCCACTTTCCAAATTTTGGATAGAGTACAAATTAGGACAGTTATGAAAGGATGAGACATCTCAGATCACCAAAAAAACCTTTCCTTCAGCATCAAAAGGAAGTATTGTTGCTCAATTTGTCTACTGAAATTCAGGTAATTATGATCTCACTGTGCATTCCTGATAAATTGTAATTAAAATAAAAAAGGACAGAGGCCAAGAACTACTTGTTCAAAAAGGTCTCGACAGTACTCCTCAGACTAAGAAGCTAAAGCAATAAATATATTTTCCAAAAGGTTACATTCAAATAACCTTATCTTATACTTTTTTTTCATTGCATGTTCAGATACTTAAGAAGGGGTGCAAGTAGCAATGCTACACAGTAGGACTTCCCTAAATACATTCGGTGAGAGGGGAACACAGAGATCAGTCTTCCAGGTGGTTTCCAAAAACATCTCAGCTTCCCAAGACTTGCAAGAGTGCCTGGCAAGCTGTGGCAAAAGGTCAGTTAAGTAGCCCCTTCCTAGCTGGAGGAAAGGCACAAACACCCATCACCAGCAAGGAAGAAAAGGGGACCAAATTCTGGTGAAACTCCAAGCACATTCAACAGGCAAGTAGGATACCTGCTAAGTGGACATCCCTGTGCAGAAGGGGGAGCGCACTTTGTAGGAACTGTCATTGTTAATATTTAAGTTTTAGAGAAGATAATCACCTCCTTTTCTCACCACAGCTCACATCTAGATCTTTTATAAACAATCAACACAAATTTACTTCACTTGGATGGCATTGAGCATGAATCTTGTATCTTCCAAAGTCCACAAACATTTATGAGGGGCGTATGTTCATATAGTAGAGTAAGATAATTACTACTACAACTGCCAGCTTTTTAATAACTGGTTATTGCTTATGTTTCAAGTCTGTAGCATAAACAAAACGGGAACAAGCTGGCAACAGCCAGTGAGTCTACAGTGAAGTTCTTTTCTGTGTTGTTTTGCAGTCTTCTGATTACAAACAGTCATTACTGTCTGTATTTGTTATGGTTTCAGCAGCCTCCAAGGAGCAATTTCCAATTACTTTGATAAACTGAGAAAGTATTTGTTAAAAAGGCTGGCTTGCAACTGGCAGTGCCGCAGTGAAACATGTTTTTGTTCATTTAACAATGACAATGCATTTTTGACAAAATGAACAGATAAAAAGCCTATGCTCTCCCGTAATGGGAAACAGACAAGTCTTTATTACTAATTCTCATGCTGCTTTCTAAGAACTCTGTATTTATACACAGAGGAAACGGTACATGCTTTATAGGTTCAGGTGCAAGAAAATATGCATCAGTTGTCCCTTTTCTGGATTGTAGTAAAGCTTTCCTGAGAAGACATTTGCACATGGGGTCAGCACGTAAAACTGGAGACAATGAGAACTGCAAGATACCCATCCACCATCCTCTCTCCCTAAGCTGCACGTGACTATCACTGGCCTGCTCTAAATCCGTATGGAGAAGAGAGGAAAGTAGGGCAACAAGCTACATCTCAGTGCTCAAATGGAAGTGGGCTAGCCAGGTGATGCTACAGGAGGACAGAAGAGTTTTCAGACTCTCTACTGAAATGACTGCAGATGTGCTGACAACCTGATCTACTAAATGGAGGAGTGGTCAGCAGGGAGAAGAGAGAGGTAGGTACTCTATCCAGTCTCTGAATCAGCATATCAGATACACACTTAAGCTTCACTTCTTTACTCTTCTTTCTGGCATGCTAAGTAGGCTCACCAGAGAAACTGGTCAAGTCTGATCCAGAAAAAAAGCCCTGTAGATTTCAGAACCAGCTTGATTTTATGTTTTGGGTAGAAGGTTACTATGTTTGAAAACAACACAAACATTTCAAAGTTGAAGTTTAAACAGTGTACTTATCTTTCATCCAATGTTGAAATTGCTGGAGAGGTTCTTAAACATTTACTTTTTGTTCCTGCTTACAGAGAGGCTGGGCTGGCAGTCGTATTTTCCCCTACAAACTAGCAACACTAGGGAAGAGGTGCATATGTTCACAACTTACTGCAGCAGGACCCTTTTCATAACTGTCAAAGCCCAAAGCTCTCATTTGCATGACAGTAAGCTACTTTAGCGCAAATAGTAGTCAGTACTGACCTGCTCTTTATCCAAGGGACTGATAAAGGAGACTGTAACAGCAGCAAGTCACCAGTAACTGAATACAGGCCCGCAAAAGTCCCTGATCAAGGTGACCTTATTCACACCTTACAGATGTTGCTCTAACCATCTGATCTGGGCACAGCCTTGAATTTGCAGGAATGTTTTCCCAGCTCAGACAAGGCATAAGCTTAAAAAAAAGCTTCATGAGCTTCTAGTCTTTATCAGCACAGTAAACAGAAAACGAGAAGGGAAACAGGAGACAGCAAAAAAGTAGTACACGGAAGAAAAGCAAGATCAGTTCTGTTACAAACACATTTGTGCAATCCACTTACTCCAGTCCTGACAGAAGCATAGGGATTTTCTCTAATGCAAGTAGTAATAAATATCACGACATAATCTCAATTCAAATAATATCAAAAGAAATACAACATCCAGAAGAAGTCTGCTTGATATTCATCCAGTTCTTTTCACTTACAGTGAAGCTGCTGTATATAGGCAGCAAAAATGCCAAAGAAAAAGAACAACTTTCACGATGAATTAACAGTACGCATGCATATAACAACAAAATTATTGTTGCATCTGTCATTGCCTGCTGAAAAAAACAAGCACTCCAAATTAAGATATACTCCAAAGCTAGTTCTGTTTTTCTCCTTTACCATAATACAAGAATAAAGAACACCTAAATTTTCATCTAAAAAGGTAGATGTTTCCACATACACAATCAAAAAACTGAGTTGCAAGCAGCCACTGAACAAACCATGGCAGTTTTTTTCTTATTTTAAAGCTAGCTACATAAATGAAAGCCTTAGCGCTCTATACCATAGAACACAAATTATTTCCCACAAAAATAATAATAATAATACCAACATATGATAATACCAACATCAAATTCCAAACCCCACCTCCTCCCTTGAGACTCAATCCTACCTTAACCACTACTAGGAATACACTATCTGAACATTCCTTTTATAAAATTGGTGTTTCTAAATGAAGAATACTAAACTTTGCCCAACTCAGCAGCTACAAAGACTTATGCAACAGAGGAAACAAGAAGAGATCTTCTCAGTTGAGAAAAAAAAAAAATTCCCCTTTCACTGAAATCCTGCTATTTTTAAGCACCATTCATGTGTTAAAGCTCAGTCTTTCATGTCACCTTGAAACTCGGGTACCATCCTATCCATGTCCATCAACACATGATCCTAGTTTCAAATACAGATAACAAGTAAAACCAATGGAGCAGGTAGCACTGCTGGCAACACTGTGCTATGCTGCTGGCTGTGTGTACTCTAGCTTTTATGTCACTGGTAGAGATAAAGGGCGCATTTTCTTTTCCAGTATACCATTTTAAAAGGCTCATTCGGTGAATCTGAGACTGGGCTTGATTCACCCTAGGTGGCTGCAAAGTTGACATTATAACAAATCTAAATTTTTGGATACCAAGTACTTACTTCACATGGAACATATTTCAGGAGAAATACCTGGATCTTACCCAAACATACATCAGATCTGCTTTAACTTCAATTTACAAGTAGACTTGTTATAAACTTCAGATGTATTAGAACCCATTAACGAATTTTTACCTATGTTGTTTACTGACTAAAACCAACTAGAAACAGGAAGCTGGAAATCTGGAGCCTTCTTAGTAAGGTACCAATGTCTACTACAGCTGTCTAAACAAACCCTTTCCACATCAGATCATTAAAAAGGCACCAAGAATGACCAACAGTATCAGAAGTAGATAAAATTCCTAACATGCCATCCATATTAGCCTTTCTTATTACAGTGCAGACAGTCTACAGCTATTGATATTCCAGTTGTTGACAAAGATCGGTTCATCTTGATTTAATTTTATCATTAGCCTCTTACAATTAGAGGTATTGGTGACATTTGAAAAGATTTAACTTCTGATATGATTTTGGATTTTTATTTTTCCCAAAACTTGTCTTTTGTATGCTTACATATCATGATCCTCAACACCCAAATGAGTCCACGGAGACAATACACATAGTAGGGACCCTATACAGTCTCCCAAGCAGCTTAGGAGGCATTCTCCAGCCAGAAGTGCAGCTTAAATGAGAGAGGTTCACACCCCGTGGAAGTTGACCTGATACAATAATAAGAAGTGAAATACAGCAGCAGAAACATGAAGAGATGTAAGCTTTCGGCTTCCCATGCTAAATCACAACTGCAAAATTACTTTAGGATTTTCACTCCACCCAGGGTGATTCATTGAACTTGTTCACTATCATAGGAACTTTGTCACTGAAAAGTTGTTAATTATTTTTTTTACATGCAATAGCAACCCCAGATGCAACATAAAATGAATTTATCATTATGTGTTTGTCCCTTTCACACAAAGCCGATCAATCTGTTTTCACTCTACCCCCCATAAATCATATTAATCAGGACATTACAGATCTTTTAACTCTGTTCTGGAGTATCACAGTGTTTCAGCTGACTTCTAACAATTCAATGATAAGCACCAGTGAACTCTTACCTTCCATGTTTTAATGAAATTTACGTTTATTAATAATTAAGTCTATATAGCAGGTACCTAAGCCATTAATTACCTTATCATCCTATGAACTATAACACATGAATGAAATTCTGAATAAGCAATATTATAACTCTATTACTAAGCTATTTTTCAAATAAGAAATTATGATGCTTTTATAAGATAAGCACACCCAGCCTACAATAGCAAGTTGTAGGTATAATTCAATATGCCTATTCACAATCTCCTGTTTTGGACTACAAGAAATTAAAATCCCTCCTCTTCACACCTCCCACTGGTTTCTTCATGCATCCTTTAAAGCTCATTCCACTTATACTGTCCAGATAGCCTGCCTTCTCCTGTACTCTATTGCCTATGCTCCCTTTGAATTCACTCTTAGTTAGCATCCTATCACGTATCTGTTTGCATCTCTCCACACTTAAATCATGGAGAAGAAAAACCTTTTCCTTTTCTTGTTTTACCTCTAGCCTCCAGGAGCATCTCAACATGTTCTCTGACTTGTGATTAATTATGGCCCTATCAACAGGAAACAAAAGTGTATCCACGTAGCTGTGCTCATGTAGCTTTACTGATGTAAACTCTAGTTACCTGCACAGTGAAGCTTCTACTATGTGACTTTACTAGCAAAAGGTCACCTCTATTGTTGCAATGCTTCTGTGTTTTAAGACTTGTGCCAGCTACTTTCTTTGCCCGTGCATTAGCGCAGACTTCCTTCCGTAAGAGAAGGAGAGTACCTTAGATTCAAGTCTAAAGCATCATATTACATCTCCCAGAGAGTGAATTCCACACAGACAGAAGCATGAAAAACACATCCAGATATACTGGGGAAAGAGAAGATCCCTCTTCCTAAAATTAGCAACTCTGGCACTCAGCTTGCAGAGCTACGCAGTTCTTTTAACTCCTCCAAGGGAGAAAGAGGATACAATGCTTCAAAGTTAGCTAAGGTATGTATACATACATACTTCAAATCACATTCTTTCATGCACGATCATTCTCATCGTAGAGGAAAAGGAGTGAGAGAGGACTGACCTACATCTTTTCTTCTTGCATTAGCACCAGGACTGGCCTCAAAAATGTAGAGGAGGTTTTCACTTTGCAAGACGTGCCTAGTTCATCACTTTAAGACAAAGCATTGCTCAGCTAGACTTCTACCAGCAAAAAATCACTCACCTAAATAAAATTCAAATCAGTAACTTTGAACTGCCTTTGGGGTTTGCCTGCACTGCAGTTGCTCTTGTGACTGCAGTGTCATAAACATAAACTGACTAACCTAAGCAGCAACAGCCATAGCACCTAGTTTAAAGTATGCTCAGACAGTTGTAATACAGACATGCTGCAAGATAAAAGTTTATAACCTTGCTAGTTAACAAACAACCTATGTCAGAGACTTTCAATGCCAAGATTATATCCCATACAATATCAAAACAATTAATGATTTACCATAGACTTTTTATCTTGATATACAAAAAAACACAAAACAAACAAACAAGAAGAGAAAAGAGCAAAATTACCAGTTCCAGCGGAGCCTAAGTCATAAACTGACAGGAAAAGGAAAGAACAGAAAAACAACTCAATTCCCATTAAACCTAAGCCATAAACCAAGTGCCTAACTTACATGTATTACTAAACAAGTGATTTAAATTATCTGGTTTGATTTTAGCAATCATAATTTGTAAAACAAGACTTCCTCTACAGCGATAAAATTTATGCTGAAATAAGAGAGAACAGTACCTTCCAGCCTTTGAATTTTAGCTTTCACAGAAATAACTGTTTCAAAGGGGGAAACTCGCAGTTCAAAGCATGTTCCTGTGAGAGTTTCAATGAAGAGCTCCATAGTTTCATAAAAAGGAAGCTTGTAGTGAAATGGTCCCATATTATCTTCATTGAAAAAAGGAGGCTCTTTCTTGTTGGCCATTACAAAGGATTTACAACTTCCTTGTAAGAAGATCTGTCAGGAAACTACATTCCACTTCTAGCCAAGTCAGCTTTGAGGACAGGTGTGGTGCATTGCTGTTCATGTTTGGGATTTTTCACCTATAAAGCAAACAAGCATAGTTCTAACATCATCTGAACATAGCTGTTAAAGAGTTTCAATTTACTCTCGATGAACAACAAATAGCTATTAAAAAGCATTAAAACAGTATCTAGGTTGTACAACAGATAACCACAAACGATGTTAGTAACATCATAGTTTTGGGACTCTAGTTTCAGCCTGTGTTCCAGGTCATACCTACTACCTTTTTATCTTTATTTTATTTTCACAAGCCACACGACAACCGAACCTGCGATATTAATGTCTAAAGCCTCCTGACCAGGACTGAGCCCTCAGCATGGTCAGAGCTGGAGAAAAACTCCAGAAAGATATAAAATCAGGGATCGTCCGGGCTTGGGGAGGGCAGAGGAGAAGACAGCAGCTTCGCCCCCTCGGC